TTATTTGGGAAACGCTATGCACTCCCTTCCCCTTTTTCCGGTATGCGCGAAATCACACGAACGGAGCTCTTTTTGCCCTTGTGACGGGCGCCCTATGGCTGCCACGTCACAAGTTGCATCTGTTGCTATTCTCACATATCTGTGATATTTCTGTTTCTGGATTATGCTTTTGAAATGTATGTGAAACTAAAAGGAAAAAATAAAAATTTGTTAGAAATGTGGACTATCATAAGTAGGTCAGATCGAGATTAATTTTAACAGGAGCAGATTTTATGACGACAGTTGTTTCTTTTAAAACAATATTTAATTTTTAACCCACATAGAAAGGCCCTGTGATATATAAGAAAATTAAGAGAAAAAGAAGGCCTATAAGAGCCGTGGTCTGCAAGTGACGTGGAAGTTTTGATTAACCGTTTAAGTTTTAAAAAACCGAAAGATGTTCGATGTATGCATTCGACACTGCCAAACAATATTATCCTTCCTTTAAAATTAATTGTCGCATTATCATTAGTGCATGATTCTTATTCTAACAGCATAGATATCCAGGGGACATCGTGAGTACGTTCTGAGAATGTCTCAATAACCTCAGAATGTCCCTAGAATGTTCTCTGGAGTTCTTGTATTATCTAGATATAAACTTTCTTTTTTATCTTAATGTATTGTATTTTTATTCGTTTATGAAATAGAAGCATCTTTATAATCTGTTCCTGTTAGCTCTGGCATCCCTTAATTAAATATTACAAAGGGAATGAGTAAGATATAAATGTAAAGTAATTATGATTCCAAAATATGCTACAAGCAAATAAGTGCCTTACTTTGTTTTTGCTTCGCACAATTATCATAATTGCTATCATCAGAGGAACTACCCTTATAGAAATATCATACTAAGAATCATTGATAATTACTTATTATCCAGTATTTTTAATACTGAAAATAAGTAATTATCAATGATTCTTAGTATGATATTTCTATAAGGGTTGTACTTATTGTATTTACCAAAAGTATTCAGATTTTGTTTTATAACGATATAAAATAAAGATAAATGCGCATTTTCTTGTTCTATTTTTTCTTCATTTCGATTTAAAACTTTGTTGTGGAAGGTATAAAAATCGTGTGGCTGAAGCTAGAAACCACGTGGACGTTACGTGCATACGTCTCTCAAAATTCGTGAAATTTTCACGTTGATCTCCACATTGAATCGATGATCTAATCCACGTGAATTCTAGTACCGTTTTTGAGCGGATGATCCACTCGATGTTCCACGTGGATGTCGACGTCGATGATCCACGGGATAGGGACGTGATTCCACGTACTTGTTTTTGTCGGGAAGTCAATAAATTGTTCGGAGAACAACTATATCTTGTATGGATATCCTAGTAAAAATTTACTCGTTTAATAAACATGTAAGATTTTTATAATTTTCTATAAAGTGTATCTTATAGGATTTTTAAACAGATCGTACGTTTTTTATGCCCAAAATATTTCAAACACATGATACACCAAAAATATTTTAAACCGTTTCTATAATATCTTCATATAAAATTTTGCAAATATTTTTACAATATTTCTCAGTAATCAAGATCTCAGCACTACTTTTCAGAATTCTGTCCCATACCGTCCGGATCGCCGAAAAACGGAGCGCGGTAACGGGTTATAGTGAAATTTTAGTAGAATTCTTCTTGTGGAAAATATTTCACAAATTGGCGTCCTATGAAAGACTTATCGTCGAAAAACTGTTCATTAGAACGCTATAAATTTATTCTGACCGTATTGAATGTTTTTAGTTATTATTTCCATGAAAATGCGACTAATTATTTAACATTAAATTGCAACCCAGACAGCACAAAATCTCCTGAGGACGTCCTAAGGACGAACAAATGTCCTCAGGACTTCTTCAGGAATATATGGATGGTATACTTTAGATGTCCCCTGAACATCTGTGCTGTCAGGGAATAAACAAGCATAAAATATTATTTTTTAAAAAAGATTATGATATCATAAAATTCTTTTAACATCTATCCATGGCACGCGAAGAGATACAAGTGTCGACAGAATATCTCTGATTTTTCTTTTATTATATTAAATATTTGGACTAAATAGTTTATTTTTATAGTTGTACTAAATATTATAAAAAAATTAAAATTATTGCTTTGGTTGCATATGAGGACAATAAGAAACATTTAGTATCAGTTAAAGAAGTAGCGCAGTAGCTAAGGTGATATATTAGAAATCTGAAGGTATCTGCAGTTCTCGAGTTCGCGTCCGATTAGTACTGAGTAAATTTTCTGGTGTAAAAATATTAAATAAATAATAATAAATAAATATTAAATAATAAATAAATATAATAAATAATAATAAAATATTATAAATAAATAAATATTATAATAAATAATAATAAAATAGTAAATAATAATAAATAAATATTGAATAGTAAATTTTCTGGTGAGAAATCAATTAAAAGACCTTAATTTAAAATCAACATAAACTGATGTGAGTTGAAAATCATTTTTTTGTACAAGATTTCAATATTTCTAGAATTATCCAGCAATATTTCAAAATGTTCCTACAATGTCTCCAGAATATCTCAACAATTACAAATTGGTGACATAAGACATTGCAGAGACATTTCCAGAATATCTCTGAGATTATCTCCAGAATATTTAACATTGCAAATATAATATTCTGGAAACATTGCTGAGATGTTTTGTGCTGTGTGGTTACTAGGGATGATATACCCTAACTATAGATACAGAAAACAAATTGACATAAGACATAATTGATAAAAAAATTTTTTTCTTATTCAAAATATTTGAACATTATAATATCACACAATATATTTATCACACAATTACTTGTGTAATAAATACTTACACACATATACGTATTTGGTTAATTATATTGATCTCATTATTTTTTTAATTAAATTAATTTAAAATATCTGCACTTTGTTTAAGTTAACATGTACTTCTCGTTTTATAGTTTTTGTTTTGATCTTTTTGTTTGGTATTTTTTGTTTAGTATTTTTTATTTGATTTTTTTCTTTGATATGTACTCAGCGTTTTTTTTTTCTTTTTATCATAATCTGCACCCAAAACCCAACTTTGCTTATTATCACTAGGTACAAGTGTTCATTATTTACAATTATTTATGATTGTCAATTGTTTTACTTAAAAAATGAAAAATGGTGAATGTTAAAAATAGTATATTTATTATGAATATAATACATCTATCGCGGTATTATAATTACGGTATCGTAGATAATGGAGGAAAAGGATTCTGCTTGGATATAACTAACTTCTTGTGTTGAAACGATATATAACCTTTAATTTTGCCTTCATATATCAAATTCGCGAGGAGGCATTCCGTCTCATCCATATCTATATCTTCCATTCCGTACATTTGTAATGCCACAAGCAAACTCTGCACTGGTATCTGATGTGTATGCAGTACTAGATACACTTTTTTGAATAAATTTCTGTAGGCAATCAGTTTGAGTTTTTCAACGATCAAATATATGCCGGCGCCAATGAAAAATGCTTCATGTTTTGCCATCACTTTTTCCAATGAACGCAAATCTCCTTTCTTGACGGACTCCATTAATTCCCAAAATTCCATTAAATTATATTTCTGTAGGACACTCTGCTTTGGCATATATCCCAGTAACATCTTCACGGGGACAAGATAAGTCAGAATCAATCTCTTGTTTTTCGAGCTCATTATATGACAATGCTCGAATGCATAAGTCAAATACTTGTCAGCTGAAACAATTTAATACGATTAATCTTTGGGATCTATAAAAAATAATACTTGTAATCACGAGTCTCTTTCGGAAAAAGAAATTCAGAATGCGTAAGTTAAGGTTTCTGGATACTTGTATCATCCATCTCTTTCGAAAAATTAGAAGCGAGGAAACGCATGTCAAAAATTCTTCCGAAATACGAAATCAAAATAAAAAAATATATCCACAAAATGACATTTGCAATTGATTAAGCACACCTCTAAAATATTCCAAGCACTTTCCTTTTGCTTTAACAATCAATAAATCATAAAATTAACATGACATGCATTTTTTTAATCTAATTTCCTCAATTATTGTATCATATTAATTTTATGATTATTTATTGATTGATAGAACAAAAGGAAAGTGTATGGAATATGTTAGAGATGTGCTTAATTAATCGTGTCATCTTATAAATTTTTTTTATCTTGACGTATTTCGAAAAAATTTTTAACATGCGTTTTGTCATTTCAAACGTTATTAAAAATAGATAGATAATGCGTGTACTCAGGAACCTTTTTTAACTGAGTTAAGTTTAAAATGATTTGTTAATTTATTATAATATTAATAGTTTATTAATTAATAGTTTATTAATTTATTATTATGTATAAAATTAATTTAGGTAAGTTAAAAGTTACATAAACAAAAACTAACTTAATGAAAAGTTACAATTGAATTAAGAGAGTATATTGCCTATACCTCAAAAATAATGAAATAAATTTAAAAAAAATTAGAAATCAAAACTCTTGGTTCCTTTCCATAGAATTTTTGATTGATGACGTCAAAAATAAGAAAATACACGCTAAAAATATTTGCAAAACATGAAATAAAAAATTATATTCATAAAATTATATTTGCAATTAATTAAGCAGACTTGTAAAATAGTTTGAAAACTTTTCTCTTGTTTAAACAATCAATAACTATAAAATTAATGTGACATGCAACCTTCCTTTTTAACATATCTTCTATTGTGATTTTGCCACATTAATTTTATCATTTACTTGTATATAAATGCCTACTATCTATTCAAGAATCTATACACATAAGAAGAGCACTAGATTCAAAGAGACAAAAAGAATTGTATTATTTTTCTTATTTTACCATGCTAGCAAGCCCACATTGATTTTAACTAGTGAATTGTTTTAACTTAACCAAGAAAGTTGATAAATTAAAATTAATATGTTTTAGAGCAGTTATAATGAAGTAATAGAAACTAGTTTATAAGATTGACTCGTTTAAAATTAACCAAGCTAAAAAATCCTAACTTTTGACTGATCAACCAGTTATTATTCTACCCTAAAAGAAACATAAGATATGCACTCACCAATTTTGTAATCACTGTCAAACATTGCTTTCCGTCCAACAAAAAATTTATATGTAATTTGTTGTGCCAATGCAAAATGGTCCTTGTAAGAAGAAGACTCTATAGCCCGTATCAGAGGCTTACATAGATGCAATTTATTAATCCTAAAATATACTTTTAATAATTGATTGATTAAAGCCAGCATTCCCCATCTTTTTGTGTCCTCCTCTGAACTTCTACTGTCAGCTGCACAAACTCGAAAGCAAGCCATCAAACATTCAGCACATTTTTCAAGTACTTCACCATGTTTCAAGTTCTTGTTGCTCTTTGAATTTTCTGCACCTATTGCAGATAACCTTAATTCTAAACACATTACATTCATCACTGGCAACATCCAATTTTCCTCTTTTTGCATTTGAAGAATCTTTGCAAGACATTGCACAGCTGAACTTTGATGATTGTACAATGTAAACAGATCATTCTTGTTCATTGCAAATATAGCTCTAGAAACAGCAATATTGATTGTACTCAATAAACAGAATACACATATATAAGTGAAAAAAGAAAAAATATGATTTTACTTTAAGTGATAAAGTACCAAATCATCCAAGGGTGCTGATAAATGCTCCATAGCCTTGTTTATTGCAGTTTCAGAACCAATTTGTGGAATCATAACATGGCTATGTCTCAGTGACAGAAGATCCTTAAAAAAAAGTTGATATTTATACAATTCATTTAATCTGTGAATGGAATATATTTGTGTATTATTTACCGCCAACGCTTCTCCATCCTGACTAAGCCACAGTCGTCGAATCTGACAAATAAGAACAAGATTGAGAAACAAAAAAATTACATTTTGTATATTTTGTCTTGATATTATATAATAAAATAGAATACCTGTATTACGTAGGAATCCATTTTAATCACAATTAAAACATAAATAACGAAGATACGCGAATACAAAATTACAATCTAACGGCACATTTTATTTTGGAAATATTTAGAATACAACGTTCATCCGTGAGAGCCGTGGCCATTGAATAAAGAATACTAGGAAGAAGCATATATCATGGGTAATCAATTGCGGCTGCGTTCCGAAATACACTGCCAGTACTGAAAATCTATAGTTTATGGGTGTTTCCGGGTGCTTTCCAATTGCTTAACACATCTTGGCACACACGTACACAAAACCAGTTTATTGGTCACATATTATCTAAAATATTTTGTAAGAAAATATGCAACCAATAAACTGGTTTTGTGTAACACAGTGTACGCAACTGGAAAGCACTCTCCGATAATACCACTCCAAGTTATGGTTCCTGCACACAGGACGCGGTAATGCTTGCCGCGCGGCGAGAGTCCGCGCGACAGCCAATCAATATGTTGTTTTTCCGTAAGAGCTAGAAGGTTATTACGGAAAGCAGCATATTGATTGGTTGTCGCGCAAACTTTCGCCGCGTGGCAAGCATTACTGCGTCCTGTGTGCAGAAGCCATTAGAGAACCTCTAGTACAGAGAATCATCAACTTATAGCGAATTCGGTTGCTTGCACTAGTGTGCACTGAGTGCGCACTAAGGCTTGTTCATAGTATGTTATTATATTTAAAAATTGTCTTAAATAATTCTCAAATAAATTCTCAAATATTTTTAACCATAATATGATATGTATAACATCCGTACGAATCATTTTATTAGTTAAAATGTTTTTAAATATGTATTTAAGACACGATCTTAAATATAAGAATGTACTGTAAACAAGCCTTAATGCGCACTCAGTGCGCACTAGTGCAAGCTACCGAATTCGCTATTAGTCATGTGACCAGCTACTCTGCGATTGGCTGGCATAAACATGTACAGATTAGACATTGCGACGCCGATGCAAACCATATATATATATATATATATATATATATATATATATATATATCCGTTGATTTCGAGACTCTCCAGCAGCACGCAGCATTCGGCATTTTAATTATAATGTTTTAACGCTCGCGAATATGCATATGCGCACGTACTTACATCTAGTAACGTAGGGATAAAATATCTAGTGATGTCTGAAATCAGACAAGTCGGCCTCCCGGTCTATAATAATATATTATTAATGTTCTAAAATAGATCCGGACGTTACAGCTGGCATAAATATATACGGATTTAGACATTGCGACGCCAATGCAGAACAAATGCTTATATATATATATTATATATATATAAAATATATATGTATATATATATATATATTTTATATATATATAATATATATATATAAGCATTTGTTCTGCATTGGCGTCGCAATGTCTAAATCCGTATATAT